GACGGAGTTGCACGAAAGCAATCGCGTGAAATGGTTCATGGTTGCACTTCATGGCGCGCTTCATCTCGGAAAGCACGAGGTAAGTTGAAGAGAGCGAAACCATTTTCTGTTGTTTACGGCAACGCAGCATTGCTGAAAAACGCAGATGTTGCATTGAACGAGCATGGCGAAACAATCTTGGTCGACTTAGCGCACACCGAAACCCCCTCCTCTTCAGTTTATGTTCTGGCTACGATTTTGTCTTTGGTCACGGCGAGAATCCGGCTGGAGCCATATGCGCATGCGTACTCGTTTTGAACCTTTTGCATAATAATAAACATTACCAGCCATTTGCAAGATCACGTGCAAGTAATGCACCAATTACAGACGCGGATATCAGAGAAAAAGAGGAGTAATCGAGAGAGTGAGGAGGACGGCTCGAGAACAATGAGTGACGCTACCTTGTTTCATCTAGGGACCTTACTTTTTCGAACGTAGCAGGTTCCGTTCCTGCCAGCGCAAAGTTATCTTTTCGTCCCCTTTTCTTCCTTCCCTATTTCACTATAAAATGACTTCGAATAACATCCTATATACTTTTCTCAGCATCCTTGTCAGTTATCATCAATACTGTGCCTAAGAAAGAGAAACGAGCCCTTCAATTTCCCATTCATTGCTAGAATTTAATGTGACACTTGCATTTTACAAAAGAAAACACTTTTGGATATGGGACAGAGCTTCAGAGAGAACTGTTGCACGGAACCTCCATTCGCGGACCACCCACATTAGTGAACGAAACTTTGAACACTAATTGGATGTGAAAAGGACAACAGAAAGCACTTCGCATAGGTCACTATGCACACCTTGACATTGACAGAAATCGGATATCGGGCGAACTGACTCCGGATATCCGGCACTGCGACACCATTCGAAAATGACGATTCATACCTCGAAACCCACACCCGTGGTTCTGCGAAAACTCATGCCGTGCCAACGCCTCCTAGAAAAACTGCCTGGAACGTCACTCTCTTTTCAATTGGGAGCCTCCTGCCAGCACGCAATCTCGAAGGCCATGCCTGCTGTCTTGCGTTGCGACCGGCCGCCGCGTGAGACCGCTCGCCTCCGTACCGCTCAGTCACGTGACATAACAGATTGATTGATATGTGGGGTTTAACGTCTCAAAACCACCATATGCTCATGAGAGACGCCGTAGACTGGAGGGCTCCGGAAATTTCGACCGCCTGCAGTTCTTTAACGTGCGCCCAAATCTGAGCACACGGGCCTGCAACATTTCCGCCTCCATCGGAAATGCAGCAGCCGCAACCGGGATTTGATCCCACGACCTGCGGGTCAGCAGCCGAGTACCTTAGCCACTAGACCACCACGCGACATAACAGTACACGGAGGAAGGAAAGGTAGGAGAGGGCATGCCCAGCCGTCGCGCGGCGTGAAAAGTGTGGCGGAAATGACATCATGGCGGCCATATTCACTGGGCACAATGGCGGCGTTGCTATGGTTACGTGTTACGCATTGGAGTTGGTCTAGCAGTGAGCGGCCGCGGCTGGCGATGGCATGCGTGCCTCCCCAGGTCTCGTGCAGAGCCGTGGCGGACAATATCCGTGCTCTGAGCCACGCTATTGTTTATGCAGTGTTCTCCTGGGAGTTACTGTACTCTTAGCAACGTTTACAAATCTTTCGTCCATCGCGAGGTTTCAACTGCGCGTATAAAGAGTGCATATCCATATGTCGTGCGGCGGATGACGCGGATGAAGCAGTTAGTGTTCAGCGAAATTGCGTTGGGCACCATGACGAAGCGGAACGACGACGACCGCCTTGCCGGTCAGTGACGGTTGGGCAGTGCTCCTGCTTGTGACAACGGACGACGTTGTTGAGCCCAGCAAGACGCAATGAGGACCATGTGCACATACGTAGTTTCACGTTGTGTGTGTACAGTAACGACTTGCATATGCGTATTAAAACACCTTTTCTCTTCCGCTTCGTATACTCTACACAAGCATTGCATGTAATCTCAACGTAACAGCAACCACGTTCAACTGTCACTAGCACCGTGCTCAAAGTCACCACGGTCGCAGAATGCTGACACCGGTGAGTTTCATGCGGAACACGGACACAGTGGCAGGACGCTGCGTCGGCCGCGTGGCGGAATGCAACCGTAGAAGGCGCACGACCGATCGTGTTGTCTGTACAGTTGCTCAATTAATGACGTGAAAGCACTCGCCGTTGTCAGTGCATCTAGCGCGCGTTCTTTCGTAGTTGCTTCGTTGTCAGCGAGGTGTTACTCTTTGTTATTACTCGGACGAAGCGATTTCGCTGAAGGTGTCCCGCTGGCCCAGAGTGTTGAGCCCCGTTCCATTAGTTTCGGATCGTCACGACCCACGCGCTGTGCCACTCACGTGCTTTCCGAGCCGGAGAGAGAGTCGTGCCTTCTGCTTTACATTCAGATGTAAACAAGCGAGGAGAATTTGCCTAGTCAATATGGCCGACTTCCGGCTTCATCGCGGCTTCACAACGAGTGACGTCAGGGCCTCTCCTACCTTTCCTTCCTCCGTGTAACAGTACCTCCACGGAACACCTACATCGCAGCTGCTCAGAGGCAACTGTGAGAGCATTGCTGTGTTCGCAGGGGGCGGCCGTCGGAGACGGCCGCCTTCGTACTAAAGGAGGAGGGTAAAATGAGAGGGTAGGCAGCGCGTTCGCGGCTCACGTTCCACGCATAGTTTTTTCTTTAAGGCGTTGGCCGTACTCACTTTTATTGCAGCCACATGGCTGTTACTTCTAGCGCTTAAGGGGGTCGTGAAATGGTCGCTTTACAACGACAATGCGGCACCAACGGCAGCCACATGCGCTAACTGTACCATCAGCCCGAGTGGACCTGCATAGAAACTTTGCCTATCGAGAAACGCGGAACTCTGTGGCATATCGAGCACGCGCAAGGGGCGCTCATCGGCGTCTGCCGTATACGCGATCCGCGTCCCACAAGGACGCTGCTTAATATGACGTCAGAGTTCAAGTTAGCGCTGATTGCGTATGACAAAGACGCTGATGAGCGTCCCAGTTGCAGGCACTCGCTAGTACCGAAAAGTTCCGCGTTCCTCGATAGGCAAAGAATTACTTATGACGACGTCACCTAGTTAGTGCGTGTAGACGCCGGTGGCTTCGCATTGTCGCTTTAGAGCGAGCGTTTCACGACCCCTTAAAAAAAAAAGAAAGATGTAACGCAAGACGCATTCGGAATGTCCATTTGAGAACAGCACGCGAAACGTCGTCATTATGCATAAAATGATCACCATAGGCAGCCATGGATGCTGCTCCAACCTAAGCAATTCTGATTGCGAAAGGTTCAGGCTAGCTGTACTTTTCTACATTTTTCACTTGTACTTCTAACATTTATTCGTGTGTACAAAAACGCCAGCGTCCGTTTTCACAAACGCGTGGCTACTTTCTAAAGTCAGCTTTGCTAAAGCCCCTCGCTAAAGTTACCTGGTTTTTTTTTTTGACAATTTTCCAAAAAAAATTGCCATTTTTCGTCTTTTCGACATGAGAACCCTAGGGGGGGGAGGGAGGGAAGAGGTGCGACTAGTCATTTCCTGGCGGCATTTGGTTGGATAACTTTAATGCACAGAATGAAGCTTCACTTCAAAGAAATCACTCTTAAGTTAATTACCATACTTAATTGCTGCATGCAATAGCACTTCCTTGCTTTCCTCGTACGAGTATTCCATCCCGGGACATAGACATGGGTGGGAAGTTTCTATTTTTCTTCGACGCGTAATAGTCATTGGGCTTTCTGAACGTAGTTTGAACGATCCTCTCAAACTTCGCTTTTATTGTCCTTTTTTGTTTTCGGGTGAGTCGTCATCGCAAGTTTGAGCACAGTAGAAATTAAAAACCACCACTAAACTTGTTTGTCAGTATTGCGACACACTATAAATGCTTACGTAGCCAAAACTCACCATTGGCGTGCCAAGTAATGTAGCCACCTCCCCCCCTCCCCCGGAAAGCTTTCTTTCAATTTTGCACACGCATGAAAACATGCACGCATAAGGGCACACTCAACATAAATAGATGTTCGGTGAACACTGTCTGATAAAATAAACAAAAAAATTGCAACGCAACGCCTCTGGTCCTTCCCTTATGCGAAGTACTAACACGTAAACCTCTATTCACACGACTGACGAAATCGTCATTCGATCCCAGGTCACCCGTACCTCGGCCGTTCCCGATTGGGTTTTCGTGGAGCGATTCATGAAATGACGGAAGCCGGAATCACAGTTGGGATCTTCGGGATGGAATGCCGAAATCCTCGCTTGTAAGGTTAATTCATCCTTGGCGTGTGAACACTGGCTGTGGAGGGATCCGAATTAGGTGGCATGTCACGTGGCTGATCCGCCCGCGATCTTATCCGTCGTGCGAATGCAGTTTACGCTGCGCGCGACGCACGAGCCAACGCACCCCCCTCCCTCCACGTCCAGTTATCCCCTCCACGTCCAGTTATCCCCCCCATTCAAACGGCACGAACCACACATAAAACGCTACCTGGTCCACGGCCCTTCCGCAATCATCCACTCAAATCTGAAGTTGTCGATGGCTCGCGTTTCGAGTGACCGAAAGCAAGCAGAACACCGCGCCATCATTTCGAATAACCGCGCGGCAAATGTTAGGTTTACATTTTGCCAGTTGCGTCCGCGATTACCGCGACATCCCGCGGAAGCAGCATTCAATGCGGAAATAAGTGTCAGCTGATGAGTGCGGTAGTGGTGCTCTATTCAAACGCGTTTTATATTTATTTGCGGCAAGATACGAAGTTAAAAAGAATAATGATGATAATACAAGACGACAGCAGCAAAACATAGCCCGCGGCTTTCAGACTGCAGTTGACTTACGCGCGGAAGTAAAATGAAGACAGCTCGTTCAGCAGCTGACGCCTCTAAGAGCACTCGAGCACATAAAAGAACGACAGCAACGGGCTTTGGAGCAATTTGAAACAAGAAACCTGCACTTACCGTGGCAACGGCACTGGGACTGGCATCGCCAGCCGCACAGTCTTCCGCGGGTTTCGGAGACAGCGTAGCATCGGCGGCCGTCGTATCGCTCTCTTCACTCATCGCCTCTTCCGTACACTGTCACGGCAATGAAAGCACAATATCACGTCGGCACGGATTGCCGCTAATGTCCGGATCGGCGAACGATGGACCCGACGGATCTGAAGCGATAATCAGTGCGATTAGAAGTGATTTAAGTAAACAATCGCCGCCGGAGTCCCCTATGGAGGCTGCCATTTGTAAACATGGCTGCATCGCGCGCGGGGCACACTGGGTAGGACGTCTGCCACGGCTGGTGCCGCCGCCTGGTGGAACAATTTCTGAAGCCTAAACGCCGAGCGCGAAACTTGAAACGTCTCGTTTGCTTGTTGCCGTGTGTACAGTTAACTTTTTCAATAGGTCGTGCCACCTTGGTTTCGATTTATACTTATATGCTCGTCAACTATTGTTTGTGGTGTGTTTGTGCGTGTTGATGCTAGTGCATCTGTTATATGATTGGGTTGTATGATTGAGTGCATGTTTTCATACGTGTAAAGGAGTCCAATAACTCCACATCTCAGCTTGTTCTTAGAGGAGAAGCACTGCATAAGAAAGGCTGAAATACAGCAGGGATGGCAGCACGAGAGCAAGTAATTCCGTTCTTTAAAATGCGAAGCATTTCTTAGCAAACTTCGGCGACTTTGAGCGTATCTATCTATCTATCTATATCTATCTATCTATCTATCTATCTATCTATCTATCTATCTATCTATCTATCTATCTATCTATCTATCTATCTATCTATCTATCTAGCCACCTACGACTTTTAGCTTTCCTGGCCGTTTCGATAATGGTATCGATACCAAATTTGGTATGGCATAACATGACTGTATTAAGAACACATATGACTAGTCATAAAATGAAAATTATGACATCTATGTCATAAATGTCATGATTATCATGTCACGGTCTTGCTGCTCTTGCATTCGTTTCATTCCCATGATACGTTGCAAAACTGGTATTGTATCACATGACTGCATGGTGAACACAAGCGACAGACCCTAACATCAAAAAATTCAGCAGATCCCACGCACCTGGAAATCAACGTTGTGTGAAGCATGCGGAGCGAAGGTGACCATGTTGCAATTTTTTTATTGAGCGACATGCCATGAAATGACGCCTAATATATGTACAAATGTTGCACGCACAGACATAAGTTGAATAATTGCAGATGTTTACATAACCAGTTGTTTGCACTTGCGCAACGATGCCACTGGAACATGCGTATTAAGGGGGGGGTGGTGAAAACCAAGAGAGAAGGCAGGGAGGTTAACCAGGCACATGCCCGGTTTGCTACCCTACGCTGGGGGAATGGGAAGAGGGCATAAAGACACCAGAAGCTGATATGAAGCACCGATGCTCGCGAGGATGCTGGCCGTGGACACTACATAAAAAAACTTCAGCGCATGGCAACTAACCACAATTGACGTTAACCCGACCTGACGGCTGTATCAAAGGAGTACATATGTAATCTTTATAAAATTGAGTATAGGCAGCACTGCAACCACTATTGACGTTTCACGACGATTGGCGTCTATTTGAAAAGTAGTTACGAGGCCTGGCGTATAGCTCTGTGGTAAAATGCTTCATTGCCATGCAGCAGACTTGGGCTCGATTCCAGCTGGGACACTGACATTTATTCTTTGCAAACGTCGGGTCGACGCTACCGATGTCGGGTATTTCTTGACGTTCGCGCGTCATAATTTCCCATGTGTGTTCTCGTCGTTTCTGGGTATATACCCAGTGTCAGTTACCTGTGGCACATACCAGCGACACATACCCGCCCCTCGGTATGTGCCACTGTCTGGCGGTAAATGTTTGACGACGTACGCAACGGGATTGTGATATTATTCATGTCTTGGCCAGCGCATCATATTCGTAAAACCATCTTACCCTCCCATGCTAATTTTGGTTCACGTCACATTTAGGGGGTGACCACGAGAGCACCCAAACGTAAGCGGCTAGATAGATAGATAGATAGATAGATAGATAGATAGATAGATAGATAGATAGATAGATACGCTCAAAGTCGCCGAAGTTCGCTAAGAAATCCTTCGCATTTAAAATCATGACATGCGTGTCATGTAACGACATGTTTACATGCCACGCTGATGATGCGCTCGCGGCCGTCTCGCTAGCTTCCCTTATACCGAATTTGGTACGTGAATGGATGACGAAGGTATGTGGCTAATTCAACCATGATAATTATGAGATGCGGGTCATGTAACAACATGACTACATGCTACGCTCTCGACGCACTGGCGGCAGTTTCGCCAGCTTCACTTATACTAAATTTGGTATTACGATACGTGAACGAACGACGAAGGTATGATACTGGTGCAAACATGATAAACATGAGATGCGTGTCATGTAACAACATGACTACATGCTAAGCTCATGATGCGCTCGTGGCTGTTTCGCTAGCTTCACATGTACCAAACTCGGTATTACGCGACGCGAACGGACGACGTAAGTAAATGACACATTCAAACATGATAATCACGACACGCGTGTCATGTAGCAACATGACCACACGCCACACTGATGATGTGCTCGCGGCTGTTTCGCTAGCTTCACATATGCCAAATTTGGTATTACGTGATGTCAATGGACGACGAAGGTATGTGACTGGCGCAAACATGATGATCAAGAGATGCGTGTCATGTGAGAACATGGCTACATGCCACAGTCAAGGCGCCTATAAATTTCAACGTGACGCGGTGCGCGTGCTCGCCGGCGTTCATTTCGTCGTGTCACGCCGGTGGTGCCACGCCAGGCGCCGGTCTTGCCCAGTTGCTTTGACGCATGCACGTCACAGCGCGCCCGGCGTCCCTTCTTGGCGAAAAAGGGAGGCGCAGTGTTTTGGTTGATATGTAGAGGTTTAACTTCCCAAAACCACCATATGATAAGAGCAGACGCCGCAGTGGAAGGCTCCGAAAATTTCGACCACCTGGGGTTCTTTAACGTGCACCCAAATCTGTAGCGCGTAGAGAGGATGGCCGCTGATCATTAAGGGTAACTAACTGGATTCCCAGAGAAGGCAAGCGGGTTAGGGGGAGACAGAAGGTTAGGTGGGCAGATGAGATTAAGAAGTTTGCGGGTATAAATTGGCAGCAGCAAGCACAGGACCGGGTTAACTGGCGGCACATGGGAGAGGCCTTTGTCCTGCAGTGGACGTAGTCAGGCTGATGATGATGATGATGATGATGATGATGATGATGATGATGATGATGATGATGATGATGATGAAATCTGAGCACACGGGCCTACAACATTTCCGTCTCCATCGGAAATGCAGCCGCTGTGCCCAGCGTGCGCGCGCGTCAGCGCTACATTAGAGTATAGTATATTGCATCCGCGAGAGCATTATGAAGGGCCCATGGACCCTTCATAATGCGCTCGCGGCTGTTTTGTTAGCTCCACGCATACCCAACTCGGTGTTACGTGACGTCGATGGATGACAAAATATATGACTGCTGCAAACATGATAATCCTGACACGCGTCTCATGTAAGAACATGACAACATACCACGCTCATAGTGTGCTCAACGATCATTTTGCAAGCTTCATGTATACTAAATTTAGGTATCACGTGACAATGAATAGATGACGAAGGTAACCGCACATCCCCACATAATATATAGCCATGACATGGAAGTCATGTACGGCATCATTTACCTCCGCTTCGTAACGTTGTGCTGATTTTAAAGTGAGATATCAACATTTTTTTTCCATTTTATTGAGGTTGTTATGACGACATTTCAAGAAATTCACAACACTGATTAGACCCATAGCCATAGGATGGTAGGGGGTCTAACGGGAGAAAGTATACAAGCAGAATAAAATTCGTATATAGAAAAAAAAAATCAGAACATCAAAAAACGTCGATTTTTCAAAAAAAACGAACAAAAATACAAGAAGATATTGGAATTTAAGGTGAAGTAAATGCTCAGAAATGCATATAGAACACATTGTTGCAATTTGTTCATAAGTGATGAAATAATCAAGAACAGGCAAAACATCAAACTATGTGTAAGGCTTAGTACATGGTCATTACTATTGATTTACATGTAGCAAATATTTTTTGAGTGCGCTCGAGAAAACCTTATAATCTTTAATCTGAAGTGGTATGTTATTCCACACTTTAGCTCCTAAGAACTGTAGTAAGCGTTCACCATACACGTTTTTAGTAGGTGGAATATCCAATTCAATTCAATTCAATTCAATACGTCGCCTCCTGTGTCCATTGCCAACGGCGAAAATGACCGACAACTGCTCCGGTTGGCTTAATGCAACCTCTTCCTTGTCCCGCCTCGCCTTTTGAAGTCGTTGGAATCGACGTGTATGGCCCTCTTCCTATATCTGCCAATGGGAATCGCTGGATTGTCACGGCCATCTACCACCTTACCCGCTACGCAGAAACAGCTTCTGTACCATCTGAGACTTCCACTGAGATCGCCGATTTCTTTCTTCGCCACATCTTTTTGCGTCATGGAGCTCCACGCATTCTCCTGAGTGATCGTGGCAAAGTCTTCCTCTCTTCCATTGTCGAGCAAGTTTTGCGTGCCTCGAACACTGTTCACAAGACCGCTTCTAGCTACCACCCGCAGACCAACGGATTCACTGAACGGTTTCATCGGACCCTATCGCACATGATCGCCATGTACATTCACCCCAACCACACGAACTGGGATGCAATTCTACCCTTCGTGACATTCGCCTATAATATGGCTGCTCAACGCACTACACCGGCTTTTCTCCATTTTTTCTCGTCCATGGTCGCTCGCCGAGTTTCGCTCTGGATGTCTCTTTCCTTTCGGCCCCTGCACCCTCGACGGCTCCTTTCTCTGAAGAATTCCTATCTCGTCTCGCACACTGCCGTCACCAGGCCCGTATTAACACCGGCCTCTCTCAAGACACTCGAAAATCTCGCTACGACTCGTCTCGCGCCGTGTTGTGTGTTTTTCCCCTGGTGACGAAGTTCTTCTATGGACTCCACTACGCGTCCCCGGCCTATGCGACAAATTCATCAGTCGCTTGATGGGGCCGTACACGGTGGTCGAACAGACATCTCCTGTGAATTACCGCGTTTCTCCTCTTAGCGCTAATCCTGATCATCGTTGCCGAGGAACTGAGATAGTGCACGTATCTCGTTTAAAGCCTTATGCGCGACGCATTTCATAATACTGTCAAGCGACCAGG